TCAGGGAGTAGACATAGAGTGAAGAAAGGAGGGAGAAGTTTGGAGAGCTAAGAACAGAGGGAAGATGGCACACGAATGGCCTCAGAGGGAGGAAAGGAAAAGGAAGGAGTTTGCAGGGAAAGCATAGGAAAGAGGATTGGGGAGGTGGAGGGAGGAGGGAATTGTGTTAAGGGAGTAGAGATCAAAAGTAGGAAAATCAAATGAGTATGGAGGGCAGAGGGAAGCTAGCAGATCCCAGGGAGGAGCACTGTCCAGGGAGGAGAGGATGGGGTGAGGGCAGAGGGAGGTCAGCAGATCAGAGGAGAGGGAGGAATGCAGAGAGCTGAGTTTGATGTCATAATTAGGGTGTGTGGAGTCAGGAGGGCAGGGTCAGCAGGAGCACAGGGGAAGATCAGTCCAGATGAAGAGAGGGCACAGGGTACAGGGCAGACAGCTAAGGGAGGAAGAAAGACCAGGTAAGAGGGAAAGGGGGGCAAGAGGAGAGGAAAAGGAGTTTCAGAATGAAAGAGACCAGAGGGCAAAGAAAGGAGAGCCAAGGGCATAGAGGAAAAGAATAGGGCTGAAGAGGAGAGTTTGGAGGTTTGAGGAGGAGGCGCAGAAGTAATAGGTGCCAGGACATAACGAAATGATAGAGGGAAGAGAGCAGAGAGGAGTGTGGCCTGCTATGAATGAAAGAGGACTCAGGGAATAGGAGATCAGAGGGAGGAAAGCATTGAGTGGAGGGAAGAAGAGATCAAAGGGAGGAGACAGTAACTGGAGGGTAAAGGGAGGAGGAGCCGGAGTTCGGGAGTGTGATATCCTAATCAGGGAGGGTGGTGTCAGGAAGCTGGGATTAGGAGAAACATTATAGTAGAGTACAGAGGGAAGCTAGCAGAGGGAGGAAAGGTGGAAGTAGAGCGGTAGATAGAAGGTAGAGTTTAATAGAGAACGGAGGAGGATAAATGGCATAGAAAAGGAATGCAATGGGAGACAAGATAGGAATGTAGAGGGGAAATGAAGGCAGAGAGCAGATTTATGAGGGGCTGAGGAGATTCAAGGGTGTGCAAGAATGGGGTATGGTGGCTTAAGAGCAGGAGTGGACAGAAGATCAGAGGGAGGAGGTTGGAGGGGGTAGGAGATTGTGTGAAAGTAGATGGAGAAAAAGGTGGGGGAAGAACAGGGATGAAGGAGTAGGAGAGCAGGAAGGCAGAGGACTTCTGAAGGAGAGAGTAGTGTTGACATAGTGAAGTGCAGAGGGTAGGATGTAGGGGAGGAGGACAGTTTTTGGAGGATGGGGAGGGCTGATTGCAGAAGAAGGATGGTAGAGGGAAGAAACCAAGGAGTGAGGAGCCAGGAGAGCA